AGGCTACTCGATCGACATTATCAGATTCGCACGAAACCTATTGCATCATCTAGAGCATACTTCTAAAGGTGTAAAATCCAATTTGTAGATTTATTAGATGTATTTCGACAGAAATTCTGATGTCACATGAAAAGCACAAAAAGCAGGTTTTTCCTAATCTGAGATTTTTTCCATTTGAGCGTGTGTTGATAATATTGTTTGACTAAAACGAGCTACGTTTTTGAATATTTTATCCAATACACATTTTGGTATGGACAACATGAATATGCTGTCCATTTGTTATTTATCTCCTACTAATAGTTTTTGACTCCTATGAGTCCCCCAAGATATAGTGTGAAAAAGTAGGTTCTCTTCGTGATAAGACTTCTCTGATCTAGTCCAGCGAAAGAAGGTAGTGTATTTTCCATAGGCTATACTTTCCTTCCCCAACCTCACTTCACTTCTAGAAAATATGTAGAACGATTTTTTCAAAAATTACTTTATGAGTAACTCATGAAAGAGTCGTTTGTTTTCATTCAAACTTTTACTGAAATCACATTTCTTAGAGTTGTATGACCAGTTAAAAATTCAGCTTTGTATCTTTTTCTATTATGGAGAATTTTACAAAATATGATGCAATGTAAAAAACATTTTTCATTAAATTAACGGTTTTATGGTACATTTACAGTGAAGTAAATCGTATCTCAGCTAATATGTAGTAAAGTATTGGAAAACTTTTGCTGTGTAACATAGGCATAGAGTGTACTAAAATGCACTGCTCGTAAATTGTTTAAGTCTGCTTCCACTTTTTCGCACCAATCGTACCAAAAAGTTACAATCCACTCGTCTACAGTATACACATCTGCCGTTGCTGCCATTCATTCATCCACTTATTATTCAGTATGGGGCAGAGGCCGAAAACGAACCGAACTGATCCGAACCGACTTTTTGAAAACTCAATCGAACCGAACCGGACTCGAACCGGGCAATCTTGGCTCTGTCTGGATCGGTAGCAGTTGTCAGTTTTTAAAAGTCGCCTTGCATATTCAAAAAAGTACTTTCACTTCTCTCAAACGGGTCACTAGTTAAAGGGTAGTTAAAATAAGCAATTATCTGCCATTAGAATACTAATATACAGCTTTTTTAAACTATTTTTGCCGATCCGATCCGAAGTCTAGTGGTTCGGTTCGGTTCGAGTCGATCCGAACCGAACTTGAACCGATGTTTTGAAAAACGAATCGAACCGAACCGAACTCGAACCGACTTTTTAAAAACTCAATCGAACCGAACCGAACTCGAGCCAGAAAAGTTCGGTTCGTTTCGGCCTCTGGTATGGGGTCCCGTTTAGGTGTGTACCATCTCGATCCAGTTGTTGGTAAGTGATTGTTCGTCTTGTACTATGAGATAGCAATGCACTACGATTTTGAAACAAATAATTTGAGGATGGATCTCATAGCACTACTTTTTTTTTAGAGAAGACAACAATCAAAAAGTGACCTGAGATAACAAATAGTTGGTGTCAACAATCGATGGATTTTACCTGATCTCGTTTCCAAATAGTTCCTAGGGCAACATAAAAAAATTTTAACTTTTTTAGTTTTTGGTAGACAAGTTATAGGTTGAACGAAATTTGAAATATGATGAAAGAGTAAGGGTGTGCAGGTGAGGATGGATGGGTGAGTGAATGAATGAGGGCGAGAAAGAGATCATCACCTTTACCCTCAAGAACCTTTAGTTGTATATGCAGCAAAAATCTGGTATTTATTCATGCAAATATAGATTCCATACAAATAATATAATGGACGAGCCAATACTCATTGGAAATGACTTTTCTTTAAAAAGGTTGATTTCTTTTTCTATTACTATAAAATTCAGACTCCAGCTAAATGATTTCATATATTCACACTATCTACAACTAAAACATGCTAAAAGAAAAAAAACCGAAGGCGGAGTGGAATGGGGGAAAGAAAGTATAGCCTATGAAAAATGTACTACCCTCTTGCACTGGACTGGATCAGAGAAATCTTATCACGAAGTGAACCTGATTTTTCATCTATACCTTGGGGAGTCAATAGGAGTCAAAGCTTATTAGTAGTCTGTAAATAATAAATGGACAACATATTCATGTCGTTCTTACCAAAATGTGTATTCAATAAAACGTTTAGAAATGTAGCTCGTTTTAGTAGAACAATATTGTCAACACATGTTCAAAGAAAAAAATCTCAGGGTTGGTAAGAACTTGTTTTTTGTGCTTTTCATGTGACATCATAATTTCTGTCGATATACATTTGAGAAATCTAAAAATTGGATTTTACATCTTTAGAAGTATGCTTTAGACGATCCAATAGGTTTCGTACGAATTTGATAATCTCGATCTAGTAGCCCTCTATAGTGTTAGGCTTTCTTTCCTCATGTGATGGCTCGTAAGTATATTGATTGTTCCAAAGAAAATATCTAACTGACCTTGTCGCATAGAATCTTCGCCGATGCTGTTCAAGATGTTTGTGTAGGCTGCCGACAAAGACGCTAGACGTTGATTATGTGTCGAATTCGTATCACCTTCCCGCAATGCTGGATCATTAATAACACTGGACTTACGTCGCTGGGTGCGTCCACCTGAATATTTCAAATTAGTAAAAGTTTTCGGTAAAATCTCTACGGAATTAATATATAAAACACGATGAACAGTTTTCATCGTAACCGAGAACTCTTTTACTATCTTCGTTATCGGTCAAAAGAACATCGGCGTGTTCATCACAGTCTGAGGCTTGTAAGTTGGTGATTGGGTTTACTTTTCTTGCTATATATTTCGTTCGACATTAATAAACTTGTTTCGCACAATTAATTATACCTACTAACAGCAGCTTGATGATGAACCCCTGTCTTAAAAGAAATTTTGGAGCCTGTAAACTCTCCAAGTATTCGTAACTTTAGGGGCTTCTATGAACTGGTACATCATAAAGGATGGATCTGTCAATACTTTACATAGATCTCAGCTCGCTTTTGTGTGTACAAATAGTTTCTATGAAAAATTTCTTCTTTCAATTCTCCATGAAACTCTGTCTTATAATTCGCCGAAATATTTCTTTATATTTTGAGATACTCGATAGTTTGGAACTGTCTAAATCGGTTCATTTTCAAGAATACTTTCTGTCAAATCTTTTTCAGTGCACATTGCAGCTCTAATATCATAGTCCTCTTCAATCTAACTTTAGTCAAATCAATGGTTTTCTTTAATTTACATTTGATAGAAGTGATTAGAGAATTCCCAGCTAGATTATTTGTGCGTTAGCTGCCTTTACAGACAAAAAACAGAAATTTTTTCTGACAACACATTCGAACTAAATTGTGACTGTCGATTTTTGCGTTTCCAGTTGCTAAATATAGTCAAATGGTCGGCGAATCTTAAACATTATCACTAATGTTCTAGATCACAAGGATGTGTTTCTTCAGATATGATGTAGAACGTAGATCAACTGATTCGGAATTCGACTAAATGTTTCAACATATTAAGTAAATTGAGGCGAAAAAAGCGATGTTCAGTGAATGCATGAAAAGCGTACACTGTTCCTAGAAAAACAATTGTGACACTATTCATTAGCTAGTTAGCTAGCACGGGGTCGAAAAACATCTCTGGTTAAGAAAAATTGCGGGTTTGTATCTATACCAAAGAAGATTCACATCGTTTTGTTAAAAAATCTACGACAAATCATACAAATTATGAGAAACTTCCCAGCTTATATTTTCCACAGAAGTAGAGGACAACTAGATTAGTACATCCCAGAGATAGAACCGGTACCGATCACCAGTCGATCCGGTTTGGTTCCAGCCCAGACTTTAGATCAGCCGGTCTGTTGATATACCTGTCGTGAGTGGTAAACTGACCAGATTACTAGTAAACCGGTCAATAACGATGGATCGGTGACCAGTCGATCTATTGTAATTAAAGTTCGCTTTTTCCTTATAAACGTGTACAAAACTTCTATTAGGTCTTAATAGCATCTCTCAGAGAAGACGTAGACAGTTTTTCGTTGAAGTTTCGTACATTGATTGTTACTATCTAGAGATGAAAGCGGTTTTAGAACAAATTTTGGACCGGCTGGTTACCAGTAGACCAGTTATTACTGGTAGATTGGCCGGTCGCCGGTAGAGAGGTCGGTTCGGTCTGGTCCCGTCTGATCTGGTTAGACCTGTATCGGCATCGGCCGTCAAAAATCTAGATCAGTTCTATCTCTGACCCGTTCTCCAAAGGGTTCCTTTGTGAAATATGATTGGTAATGCGTGTTTAGGTATATAGTGAGAAAATTGAACTCCTGCTCTGCCCCACAGACAATAACAGACATCCCGGTATGCTACGTTAGATTTTTGAATTACGAAATTTATATTATAAGATAAATATTTAAAGAAATAATTATTTTAAAATGTAAATTCCGTCGCCGAAAAACACAAAAAAGACATGTCGACATGCCCGTTACGGTCTATGACAGTTCAGAGAATTCTTCGAGATTCTGTTGTTTGTACTCGTTATGAACTATGATATAGGTGTCGATATTTCTTCATCATGGATATGGCTGAATCATGCTTCGCATTTTAAACTTTTGAAAATTACGAAAACTTTCCATAATTAGTAGGTCATAGTAAGTCGCTTGGATAAAATCTTCTAGAGAAGGCTTCATATAGGACAGAATTTCAATATGAGAGCGACTTATATCACTGCGAAGCATTTAAACTATACGTGATCTGAGATATTTTTCATATCAGCCTTTTTTTGCACCACGTAGAAATATTTGATGCATTTTAATGACAAGCAGAAACTTACTTTTTTCAACCAAACTTTTTTCATCCGAACTTTTTTCATTCGTACTTTTTTTATCCGTACATTTTTCATGCAGACCATTTTCATCGGTTTCTTGGATGGTTGACGGTACCGAAACACTTGGTATCATTTTTCCTTGACAATATTAGTTCTAAAAAACCAAGCACATAAGAATAAAAATACACATTAGAATGCGATGCTCTTTCTATCTAAATTCAAAAAGCTATTAGTGCAATCCCTTGCGGGATTAAAAATGTGGAACAAAATGTAGCTGCTATAGCCGATATTCTAAAAGCTGTTGTTTTTATGCATACTGGCATACATTTCTTCCTAATGGTTTACCTTACAATTATAGCCTTTTAACAGAATAATATTCCATATATGCTTCAATCATATGTTAGTTATGCATCATCTCTGACATTTTCTTGAAATCTTCTATCACAGTCTATAATGGACCCTGAGCCCTCCTGTCACGGTCTGTGACGGATTCACAACCTCGTCTATCGCGGTCAGCGATGGGTACAGAGCCATGTCTGTCACGGTCTGTGATGAGTTCAGAAATCTGACTGTCACGGTCTATCATGAGTCCAGACCCATGTCTCTCACGGCCTGTAACGACTCCAGAGGCTTGTCTGTAACGGTCTCCGATGGCTCCGAAGACTTCTCTGCCACGGTCTGTGATAAGTTCCGAGCCCTGACTGTCACGGTCTGTGACAGGTCTAAAGCCCGACTGTTACGGTCTGCGATGGGTCCAAAGCCCTGTTTGTCACGGCTTGTGATGGGCTCAGAGCACTGTCTGTCACGGTCTGTGATGAGCTAAGAGCCCTGTGTGTTACGATCTGTAATGGATCAACAACCCTGTTTATCACGGTCTATGATGGATCCAAAGTCCTGCCTGTCACCTCCTGTGATGGGCCCAGAGCCCTGGCTGTCGAGGTCTGTGATGGGCCCATAGCTCTGTCTGTCACGTTCTGCGGTGGGCCCAAAGCCCTCTTTGTCACGGTCTGTGATGGGCTCAAAGTCCTCTTTGTCACGGTCTGTGATGGGCCTAAAGTCCTCTTTGTCACGGTCTGTGATGGGCCCAAAGCCCTCTCTGTCACGATCTGTGATGGGTCCAGTGCCATGTCTGTCACGGCCTGTGGTTGGTTCAAAGGTGTCTGTCACCGTCTGTGATGGATCCAAAGCCCTCTCTGTCACGGTCTGTGATGGGTCCAAAGCCTGCCTGTCACTGTCTGTGATGGACCCAGAGCTCTGTCTGTCACGGTTTGTGATGAGCCCAAAGCCCTCTCTGCAACGGTCTGTGATGAGTCATGAGCTCTGTCTGTTACGGTCTGCGATGGATCCGGAGTTTTGTGTGCCACGGTCTGTGATCGGTCAAGAGCTCTGTGTGTCAAGATCTGTGATGGGCCCAAAGCTCTGTCTGTCACGGTCTATGATGAGTTGAAAGCCCTGTCTGTCACTGTCTGGAATGGGTCCAGAGCTCTGTCTGTGCCGGTCTGTGATGGGTCAAGAGTCCTCTCTGTCATGGTCTGTGATGGATCCAAAGCCCTGTGTGTCACGGTCTGTGGGTGGAGGGGGGAATGCAAATTTCTGCCTGTAGGCACTTCAACAGTCCTTTCATATCGTGTTTCCCAAAAAAGCAGATATCACACATAATTTGATCAGTGTGTATTATGTTTAAGAACAGTACGCCTAGTTTCGGTCATTCGTAGGAGTTAATCTTCATATAGTTTTACTTGACTGTATTATTTTTTGCTAATTAAATATCGAAGAGATTCCTAAAAGGAGATCTGTTGACTAGTCAAATGTGTGAAAACTTAAAAGCATTGTCAAGATGCTCTTTTTTCTAGGTGTATTAAGATTCGTGCCTTCACCCTCAGCTGCAATAATGTCCTTTTAGTTGTAGTGTATGAAAATTTTTGTTTTCACCCTCAGCTACGGAGATACTCTCTGAGCCTGTTTTGTTCAGATTTCACCTTTATCCTCAAGTACAGAGATTGCCATGCAATAGAAGTAATGTATGGAAGTAGAAATAGTGGCACTCTCAGCTATTGAAAAAACACCATCTGATAAGAATATGAAGATTTCTTGATGCTCTCAATGTTGAAGTGGAGTATGAGGTATAATGTCTGCATCTTTGTGCTTACCTCGTAAATATTTCAATTTATGTACGACTATTTGTATACGTTATGCTGGTGACAATAGTAAATGGAGATTGTGTTTATTTCGTATATCAATAATAAGTGTTAAATTGAAAAAACGGAAATATGTCTAGAATAGAGTAGAACGTTTATTGAAGAATGATAGATTTTGTTATTATATTATGAATAGAGAAGAATTCGACTGATGACGATAGATTTTATTCTACGTCCGAAAACGAATACGACAAGTAAAGCAATAAATTGAATACAGTATATGACGAATAGATATAGAAGAGAAAACAAACTGAGGAGTAAATAAAGAACTATTACTACTAGCATCACTAAGGCTTGATTAAAATAATAGTTAACATGAATAAAAAAGTCATATGTGTAACGAATTTTAAAGATGAATGCTTCATTACTTGTTGAATTGATCTTCATTTCAGTATAGTTCTTATTTCATACATACTTTTATATCACTATCAACAAGCTACTGACTTCTACATGCATACTTCATCGACTGCACATTGTTCTCTCTTTTCTTTGATTATATGGTAATCACTCGAGTATGAAAAGCAATGAAACGCATATTGATAATATGGTATGCATAGAAAAGGCCGAAACAAAAAATGTCGAAACAAAAAACATCGAAAAAAAATGTCGAAATAGAAAAGGTGGAAAAAAATATATCGAACGATGAAAATATCGAAAGAAAAAATACCGAATGTGTAAAAATGTCGAAAAAATTGTGAGTGTGAATCAAGAGAAAAGTCACATTTTTATTCATACTAGGATCCTGCAGTATATGGCTTTGCCGTGCCTCATCCTCTTTCTATCCTAAAAGTTTTACGCTCTTACTCTGTGCTTTCCACGTCTGGCCGGTCTAACCAAGACTGAAAAATATCAATCCTGGATCCAGAGACTTTAATAGATTCTAATGAATCTTGGCGATCAAAATGAAGTCAAGTAGTTTCATCTGACTCCATGGACAGTCACCTAGATCTCGAATCTTCTTTTTCTCTCTCAAGGCTAACCCTACTTTACTCTATAACTTGTTACTTAAACGTTAGTCTACGAGACTCATATTTGCACCCCACACACATACATTTTATGTTCAAATTTTCGACATTTACTTTTTTCGACGTAACTATCATTCGATGTTTTCATCATTCGACATTTTTTTTCCGATCTTTTTAGTTTCGATGTTTTTTTTTTCGGTATTTTTATCGTTCGACCTTTTTTTTTTCGGTGTTTTTTTTTTGACGTTTTTAGTTTCGACGTTTTTTCTTTCGGCCTTTTCTATACCATTCGATAATATAGGTAATGGTGATTTCTCCTTTATAAAGAATATCGACAATGCATCATGGATTGATCGATAATCGTACTATCATACAGGGATGATAGCACACAAGGATAATATCATGTAAGAGTGACATTATCTGAAATGATGTCCTGTAATAGCTGTGTGCGCCTGTAAACACATCAACCCCTTTAATCAAGACGTGCTCCTGAGCGTCCTTGAAACAACGATAATAAACGATACATAGGAAGAATGCAGGCATGCAAGAAGAAAAAAAAACGAAGAAAAGAAAGGAAAAAAATCCAGTTTTTTGTTCGTATATAAACAAAAGAATAGGAAAAGAAAAAGAAAAAAAGAAAAAAATAGAGAAAGAAGAAAATTAAAAAAATTAGTTTACTATGGGTAACGTACGAAGATAGATGAACCTTAAACAAAAATTGCAAAAAAAAGAAATGTAAAATTAAATGAGGGACGAGATCAGTAAAAGATACTAGGACGTATTTTTATAACTCTTCCGGGCTGTCTTGTCTTTAAATTGATTTCGTAGCTAGCATTGAAACTGTAATATTGGTGTTTCTGTTCTTCTTTGAGTGCATATAACAGATTTGTAATTCAATAAGAACAATGATCGTAAATGCTAGACTAATTACGACGAGAGGGAGTGGTTGATTTTGCCATGGCGTGTATGTCTCTATTGATGGAGACTTCGGTGTATTGAATATAAAGTCGATTATGGTTTGTATGTTAGGAAGGATATATATGGTAGCTTTGTCTCGCGAGTATTGTTATTAATTTTTGAGTGGAGATCGATTAAATCCTTCTCGATTGAACTGATTGTAGTGTCTTCAATAATTGAGATGTTTGATTCTATTTTGATCGGTAATCTTGGGCGGCGTTGCAACCGATAACGGTAAATGGTATGTCTGGTCTCATTTAGGATTCCTCACCAACCGGTACACCGACTGGTAGGAAGGAATTTTTTCAGACAGGCCGGCCTAGAATTTTTAAAATTTTTTTGCTTATTTTTATCTCATATTCTTGCGAAGATTAAGTATAGAAGTGTTTATTTTTGGATATCAAACCAGTTTTACTGATATCTATGACAATTTCTATGGAAAAACATCAATTAGACTGTTTATATTTAGCCAATATTCATCGACATACGCTTCATATATTTTATTCAGTCATTTCATTTCCAAGTTCTATGATCGAAACAAAATGGAGTAGTGGTCCTTCATTGTAATTTATCAGTATTTCTCTCTAATTTGTATTATTTATATTATGTGTCCTTCAGTTATAGCTCTACCGAAAAGCTTCATAAGTTTCCACTCTGTTATCGATATGTAACAAGAGCATGCTAATTTGAATCTATTTTATTTAAGCCTATATAAACATTAAAGCCTCAAAAACTAATTGCTCTTGAAGATTTGAATAAGAGTGGATTAAAGTGAAGCATTCAGTCTTTATTGCCAGACAGTCTAATATGAAATGTGCAAAAAATAATATGCTTTCGACAAGTTTTAATACTCGACTCTGCATGGCTAAGAATGCACAAAGAATAGCTTTGACCTAGCCTCTATGTCAGTTAAAGTGCGAAGTCTTTGCTGTCCTCTTTAGGGTACCGTATTGTGCAAACCACAGACCATGCTGAAACTGAGGGCCAGAATGCCAGAAAAACTAACAGGCCGT